TAATCTAAATTATATTTATAAAATAAAAAGTAAGATAAAATTAGAGAGATTAAAATTATAAAATTTTAATAATGTTATAAAACATTAAAAAAGAAAAGAATTAATAAATAATAGAAATAAAAAATTATTTAAATTACAATATAGAAATTCAAAAATTTAAGACAAAAAGACAAAAATATACTTAAAAAATAATTCAAATTAAAATATGGAAATTCAAATATTTTAAGTGAAAAGACAAAAATATACTTAAAAAATTATTAAAATTAAATTATTTAAATATATAATCATATTATTACAAATAAAATTAGAATATATAAAATAAAAATCAGTTAAGGGTATGATTATCTATTATTTTTTAGACAAAATCAGTTACAAGATGACGTATAACTTTATATTAAATGTGAATTTTGTAAATTCAACCGTTAAATTAAAAATATTTTACTCTTAAATCATATATACAAAATGTTATATTAATCGAAGATGATTTCTTATAAAACAAAATTAAATATGTTGAAAAATTTATATTTTCGATGAGAAAATTTTTGTAGGAAAAGCTATATTATTGATGAAATATTTCAGACAAATTTATATTTGTCGAAAATGTAAGAACTGGTTTTAAATTTGATATGAAAATATTATGATATTATTAGATAAGATTTTAAGTTAGTATTTTATTAATGGTTGATAATTAAAAAATAAAACAAGGATAAATACATTTTTTGAATTTTATATGTTTGATTTAAGGTAACTAAATATATTAAATTAATTAATAATTTATTTAAAATATTAAAATTTAATTTATAAGTATGTATTAAATAAATATTTATAATTTTTTAAATTATATTATCATTATAAATTATAAAATAAAATAATTTAAATTATAATTTTAAATAAAAATAAGTAGACGTTAATTATAAAAGTAAGTACATATAAATAAATAATAATTAAATATATTATTATTATTAATTATTATTATTTGTAATATAAAATTATTATATATTATTATTATAGTACAAATATGAGATTGTATATTTGAGAATGACTTAAATGAATTAATTTGTACAAGTTATACTGACAACATACATATACATTTCGGTAGCTTACTCATAAGAACTTCACAGTTAAGCGTGCTTGACCTGGAGTAGTACAGGGATGGGTGACCTTCTGGGAAGTTTCCCAGAAATTGCACAAGTAAGGATAAAACACACTAAACAATGAAATATCGTGAAATAGAACCCTTGAGAACCCAAATATAAGGGTTGTTACATTAATAAATTTATTAAAATTAAAAAAAATTATAATTTTTGGGTAATTTCCCACGGATAAATCCGTGGGAAAATCCGTGGGAAAGTTACCCACGGATTAAAATCCGTGGGAAAATTTCAGACGACCAATTTACCGACGGATTAGTGTCCGTCGGTAATCCGTCGGAAATGCCTCATTACCCACGGATTTTGGGCATTTCCCACGGATTTTTGCCGTCTGAAATACCGAATTTTCTTGTAGTGATAATTGATTTAACTGCAAAGTTGTGTGATGTTATTAGTTAAACTACTAGATATATGGTGAAGATACATGTCTTTTTTAATTATTGCATATTAACACATCTTTATTATTATTAAATAAACTTCATGCGTGTCTTATTAAATACAATAAATTAAATTAATGTTTATTGAACCGTATAAAATTCACTCAACAATAAACGTGTTAAAAAAAATTTCTTTCATTTTATACCCTAAGTATATAGGTTGAAGGGGTTAAAAAAGTAAAGATTTTGTTAAGAAAGAGAATTCATCAAATTGGTTATACAAGAATTATTTATTATTATATTGAAAACCTTTTATCTTTTGAGTGAGTGTAAATACAAGGGGCAAAAAGCCCAACTAGAAACCCTAAAAAAATATAACAACAACTGAGTAACCTAGCTAACACCTTTAAGCACATAAAATAAATCATTAAAAAACACAATTAATATTTGAAATTTAATCATTACATAATATCTTAGGTTCAAGTTTTATAAATTAAAAAAAAGCATGATTGAAAAAAAGTCTCACTAAAAATGATTAGATAAAATTTTCACAAAAATTATTGATCAATAATAAATACTCTATACTAGTATTATGTTTATCCAAAGTAGATTATAATGCCAATTCACCAAAAGTTTGTAAAAAATACATATTTATTTGTTACACATTTTAAAACCAAATTTACTTGAATTAATATATTTAGTTTTCATCTATCAATACTCCTATTTTTTTTTCTTGGTATAACTAGAAGATATAACTATTTCTTATTGAACAACCCATTATAAAAATAAAGTGTACTTTTAATTGCAACTTTATATCCAAACATAAAATCGAATTTTGATATTTAGTTAAATGATAGAAATTATTTTTATCGACAATTTTCAATAACACTTCTTCGATCTAAATTAAGAATGATGATGTAAACCTGAATAAGCTAACCTCCATTAGACTCAGAACTCCGGTCCAAGAAATATGTATGGCCATATTTATGGGGATTTGATTGCATGCTGTACTATAAATGTTAGAACAGAAGGTAAATGCTTGTGAAACGTAGGCCTAATATGCATTGGTTAAAAGATGAAAAAGTTCTTCACGTACAGGAGCTGGTTTTGTAGGGTGGTATGGTTCCTATAGGCGGTTTATATATACGAATGGAAGGTTTGATTCTAACTATAGCTAACTGAATTTTGAGACATGATAGCATCCATGTTAATGTTGTGGAGAGAAGCAATGGAACATTTGATGCCAAGTCCCCCACTTGTTACGCATTCACCACTTGGGTTGGTTGCCTGATCATGTTCAGTGGCCATAGAGTATTATTACACGCAATTAATTATACACACAAAACACACCCACACGTACATGTTCCAACTATATAAATATACTAGCTATAAAGCTTAGAGTAGTATGCTTAGAATATATATAGTTACTAATTGTCCTTTTTAACCATTTTTGCTCGATATTGTAAAAAGCTAACAAGGGTGAAAATCAAAAGGAATAATTCATCTAATTAATTAAATGCATTTTGATTTTGAAAATGGGTTATAAACACTCCCTGTTACCCTACAATGACATCCTTTAATTATATTCCTTATATATTATACTAGTGGACATTACATTAATTCCCTTAATTACTTTTTTAAGAAAACCACATTATGACCTTAATTCTACAAGGGAGGTTCAGCTGTAAACATTAAAAAAAAAAATGTATCCATGCAATTTCATGAAATTAAATTTTTTTATATATAGGATTGTATAGCACAATAATTTATAGGCAATTTTGAATATATTAGTAAAGAATAATTTTAACCACTTAATTATAAGTTAATTTTTTCACACACTGTAAATGTAAATTATTTTACACTGTAAATCAATCAAAAATCATTTCAAGTATGGCTTTTAAAATATTATAAAAATCAATATATATATATATATATATATATATATATATATATATATAGATTAAATAAATGTAAAACAATCTTTAAATTATCAGATTTTTATTGAGTTCTATACTTATATATGGAAGAAAAAGATTAAAACAATTTGAAATTAAAATTTTATATTTTAATCTTAATCAATTTAAGTGAAATTTAATAATTAATATTTATTCCTTTTTATTCTTATATATAAAAATACTCCTTTCAAGAAAAAGGATTCTCATATAATCCTTAGACGATTCAATATTATTTTGGTGTATAAAGAGAGCAACAAAATTTAAAAACTTTGCACAAACGACTCAAATTCTTCGCTCTTAAGCTAACCGTAGTGGGTTAGCAATTCAATATTCTAATTGTTTAGGCTTTTGTTTACCGCTAATGTTTTAGACTCCGTTTTTAAGGGGTTCCTTAGGAAACTAATAATGTCTTTATCTATGTGATTTTTATTAATAAAAATGGGATTAAGGTCAATTTTTAGGAATATTCACTTGAAATTTGATCTTTTTTTCACAAATGAAACACGGTTAGTTTGTGCTTCATTTTTTTGGTATTTTACTATTAACTTGTCTGCTCTCATTATTTTTATTCCTGATTTCTACTTTAATTTGGGTAGATGGAGATCCAAATTAATTGAGGACGGTACTTGAATCCCACTGGGCTTGCCAAAGAATCTGGTGAGGCTTCCCCATGGACCTTAGCCTAGCATATTTTTCCCACTCTAGTAAATGAACCAATGGTTCCACCAATTTAACCAGCATCAACTAATTGTAGACCGAAACCATCCACTTTGAAAAGTTCAGCAAAACTATTGTTTTTTGACGACCCCAATAATAAAGGAAAATAAAAGTTTGTTGGGCCTTTGAGCCCCCCTCTTGTACCAAAAAAAAAAAGGAAAAAAAAAAGGTTCAACAATGTTGAAAAACCTAAGGGAACTCTTCTATCAATTTGTTTAAATATAAAACTTATCAGAGTTGACGCTAGTTTAACCTACAAATCAAGTGGGTTAAGATTAATTAAAATATTTGTCTAATTAAACACATGCCTTTTCGGCCTTGTTTGTTTAACTCGCAGGAATAATGAGTTTGGTACACGAAGTAATAGGTCAGTCTTTTTTTTTTTTTTTTTTTTTTTTATATCTATGACATAATTTATGTAGTATCTTAACATTTTAAAGATTATTATGCGTTTGAAAGAAATGATTTCTATTAACTAAATATTATTTTAATATTATGAACAATTCCCATATACTATGGCAAGCCTTACAATATAGGTTAGTGGTGAACTCTCATATACCATAGCAATTAGCAAACCTTACATTATAGGCCGGTCCACATATCAATTATAATGTTTAAATTTTATTTTTATTTTATAACTTATTGGTGTATTTAGATAGTTCTTACGTAGTATTGTTTGATTAGTATATATTGACCCTTTTTCTAGTAACGCGATATTTATTATTTGTTGATGAAAATAGTTAGATAAATTGAATTTTTTAATTTTTATGCTTCATTTAATGGGTTGAGCCTGAGGCGGCACTTACAGACGTGGAGCTCGACGAAGTAATGGCTTTCACCAAATACTTATAAAATTTAACTATGCTCGATTCAAGTAACCAATAGCGTAATAACATAGTTCTTCCTAATAACCGATTATGATGTGATCACCATATTGATTCTACACAGGGCAACATGATCTTGAGAACTAAAATTATTTTGACTTAAAAGGGTAAAATTAGTTAATAGTTCGGCAGTCCCTACGAATCTGGCCATTACTCTTTGGCGATCCCAAGCTTCCCATTTTCAGCATGGAAACCTTGAAGTCCTCGAAGAAAGCTAAGGGATTCTCGACGTAGGTTTCCACAATGTGTCGTGTCTGGTCATTGCCATTAACAAGAGCCTGGTCTGAAGGGAGCAACCCCTCCCCAGAGAGAAGATTAACGAAGTATTGATTATCAAACGTGGCAGGTGTAGCCAGGTCAAGATGTGCAACCGTGTTGCTACCATCGGGTCCCGAGCACAATTGTTGCAACGATGCCAGGAAATCTATGTTGCCACTTTCTGAGTCGCTGTTACTCTGTAAACGAGAGCTGAATGTTCTGCACCGGGCTTTTCCTATTGTGTGGGCACCTGAAAAATAGAGGGTGGCGGAAAACTGGTGTTATTGATTCTCCGTGATGGGAAAGAGAAGAATTACAATGGCACGGGGATAGGGATAGGGATAGGGATAAGGATATTGAATTATGACCTGAAAGGGCAACCATGTCTTTAAGTGTAAGGCCCACGTTCTCGAACTTGGCTAAGAGCACTTCAACAGTGGAGTTTGGGCCTGGGATGTTGTTATTTGCTGCGTCCTTGCTAGCACTCATACCATCTTTTCTTCCCATTTGCACCTCCCAAATTGGACCTCCAGACTGTAACAATGTATTTCAATATGCTTCATGATGTAGTAAGAATAATTCGGGAACAGAAATATAGTTTGTTTAACATAAGAGAGAATTGATTCCACCCCCACAGAATCATAGTGATACTATAGAAAAGTAGAAACAATTAATTGTTATTTTAAAAGTTGACTAATGAAACTGTTACAAACTAGAAATTATCAAGTAATTTAAGATTATTATATGTTTATAGTTTCGATCAATACTTAAATTACATGTCATTAAAGAAATTAGTCAGAGACCACTGATAAGTTTTATGTTCCAAACACACTAATAAAAAGGATCGAGGATGAGAGGAAGGACAAACCAGAAGAACTGAATCTCGAGCAGCAGTAGCCAATATGTCAGCACAGGAAACAGTCTGTGGACACACTACTTCTAGTTCGGATTTGATTTTGTCAATTACTTCGAATCCTCTGAGTGAATTCAAATTTGGAGCAGCAGTTTTCTCACCTACAAAGTCCTGTGTGTCATCTAGCAATACCGAAGCATCGCAACCCTGAAATGGCCACAAAATATTAATTAATGAGATTTTTAGAAAGTTTATAAAAGATAACATCATTTAAAGAATGTCTTGCATTGACAAAGCAATCATGGAAATGTAGCCTAAGCAGTGAGGCTGCCATTCTTGAATCTTCGGAAACTGCTTGCTCCACCCAAGAGAATATGATGGCCTCGGCTTCTGGGCAAGTGTATTGGTATATGTTACTCCCTAATGGACACCCACTATCATCACCATAGCCTTCGTTCAATGTGGTTCTTGCAAGGGATGGAGTGAGATTCAGTATCAGTGCTAGACACAACAGTACTAATTGGGTGCCCATATTGTGAATAATAATAAGGGAACGTTGCATTCTATATATAGGAGCTTAATGGCTTAGTGTTGGGAAAAGACAGGGTCAAGCTTGCATAAGAAGTGGTTAGTAGAGTAAGTAATGTATCACCTAATGCCATGTGCCTTTGTATTCAGTTTAGATTCTTTCCTCTGCTCCAGATATGAACTATGAAGTGGGACTGTGGGAGTAATGTTCAATTAATTACTAATGTTATTTTAATGTGTAAATTAGTAGAGAAAGTAACAATGTATAAACTTATTTTTATCGATCATTGATACTTTTTTTAAAAAAAAAAAACTTATTCTTTTGAAAAAATGTATAAATATTTTTCTATATTAATATTTGTTATCCTCTTTTAATTAGTTTATTATTTTATTTTATTAAATGAACTTATTTTTATTTTACCTAATTGATTTATATTTAATTACATTGACAAAAATTCAATTGATCATATATGTTTTATTTTTGTCAAAGAATTCTAAATTTTATAATCTTAAAAATTTATAGCTTTATTACTCTCTCATATGGTAGTATCTTTTTACTTAACCAATTTATTAAAATTTTCATTAGTAGATTAAATTTGAAAATTTTCACATTACTAATATCTTTGTGTAATTGATTAATAGTTAAATCATGGATAAATATAGTATATGGAAGTGAACTTTTTACATAAGAACACATTTATACTTGAATTACTAAAAAAGTACACTTTATTATTTTTTAATCTTTTTCTAGTTTATTGTTTTAATAATTCAGTATAGATGTAGATATTTTTTTTTCTTTATAGTGTCTTTGCACTCAACGAATATTATATAATTTTTAAACCAAATTTAACTTTTTTACCTAGTTAGTTTATATTTAATTACACGACCCAAATCAAAATGAATTCACATGTTTGACTTCTTTATGTAAAATTAAGTATGGATTACAATTTGCTTTAGTATTTTTATTATTTCTACTTCATTATTATACTAATTTTAATGTATTAAATTTGTATTTTATATCTATTATTCTTCATATGTAAAGAGAATATTATAGACTGCTATATATGTTATTACAACAAATAATTAATTCACTTTCTCATTTAAACTTTTATCTTAGGAAAATCATGTCTTATAAGTGCATATTAGTATTTAAGAATATTGTGTGAATCATGTTTATAAATAAAATAAAAATAAAAATAAAAACAAGGGGTTTGAGACACTACTACTTAGACAAATGATATAATACTACTTAGACAAATAAGGATATATTAGTCTTTAAAATGATATATGTTTAAAATCATTTTTGATTAATTAATAATGCATACAATATTGCTGTCAAAAAATAATAAATCCAATATTTACATTTATCTGAAATTGCAATTTTGACGTTTTACTCAGTTGTTACTCAGAAGAAAAAGGTATAACAAAGATAACTCACTCTATATATATTATAATCCAAGACATGGAATTGTTACTCGGATATTTTCATCCTAAATTTATTCTTATATTCCTCTATCTCATCTATCACATTGTGTATCATTTTTTTTTTCTCTCTTTCCTCCGCCCAATAAAAAAAAAATAGGGTTGAGGTTTACAATTATTCTTCTTGGTTCTTACTTCGATCACGACGTATTTCTTACTTCTATTACACCAATTTATGGGGATACACAACACACTATCGTGAGTACGTAGCAAGTAGCTAGCAACTTCCTCAGGGGACAACAACGTTGATTGACAGCATCATTTTTTTCCCTCAGTCTTCAACTTCAACGTGGAAGCATAAAACTTGCTTATCTTCCTTATCACCTTCCTCGCAATGACCCTGTACTTTTTCTTACCAACATTTTTGGACAACCCACTACACTTCTCCATCTTGAAGCACTCCACATCACTCTCCGAAAGAGCATCGATAGAAAGAAACGTCTCATACAGCTGAGGATACACCTCGCGCATCGACTCCCTGAATTTCCCTGAAACCCTAACCCTAGAAATGGAACCCTCACTGCCTTTCCCAACTCTCACGCGCCCCTCGGCGTAGTCATTACACGCGAGCAGAATCGCGCGCCCCCGGTTCCGAAAATGGCGAACGACGAAGGCGTGGAGGTTCCCCGGCGGTTGGCGGAGCAAGCAGAGCATGGTCTTGCAGTTTAGAATGAAAACGTTGTCGTTGTAGGTCATGGCCATTTTCTCGAAGAGCGCGCGCCCCCCGCGGCCGACAATCTCGGACCAAAAGTCGTTGAAAAACGGCTTGTCGTTTAGGACAAGGGCTTGGAGGGAGAGCAACAACTGAAGAATAGTGGACCCCGCTGGGTCCCACTTTTCATGTTTTCTTCCGACCCACGTGTTGATGAGGCTGAGGCAGACGTTTCCGGTGCTGTAGAGGTTGGGGTTGATCCAGAAGCCGTAGGAGCGATAATGGACCTCGGGGGGTTGGGCCGGGTATTGGGCCGGGAAGGCGATGTCGAAGACGTAGAGACCATCGTGGTAGGGTGTGCCCGCGGCGCCGACGATGACTGCTCTGAGGAGGTCGATGCGGTGCTCGTAGACGCGGACGTAGATATTTGTTTGGGGGAGGTTGTGGTAGAGGATTTTCCACTCTTTCATTATCTTCTTGTACACGTCGCTCCCTGCGTTCGTGAAGCACTCTCGGTACGCGCCTTGGGATTGGAAGTGGTGGTCTGAGTCGTCTGAAACGACGTCGAAGCGTTCCGTCTCTGCCATGTTGAGAATGGATGCATGAGCTTTTCTTTCTTTTGTGTGACTGTGTCTGATCAGTGAGTGAAGCGGTTGTGTTATTATGTATGGGAATGAGACTGGGAGGAAGCGGCGCCGCGTGGCAGTGGATGCGCCATGTGAGGATTGAGTTGAATCAGTCCACATGCCACATGCTCTCTACTAATTAGTAGGATTAGTTGACCAAGTATTTGCTTTAATTTGCTGGGTTTGCAAATTAACTAACTAACTTTTCTTTCGTAAAATGCTTCACTACGAATTTGGTTTCTATGTCTTCAGCCGTCACTCTCCTTTTCCTTGCATGCATTTGAGATGATTGAGCCTTAAATCCCGCTTCTTTCTTTCCTTATCTTATTTATATGTTCCTAATTAGCCAAATCTCCAACGCAATTAATCTCCTGTCTTGCTAATTTACTGTTTCTCTATCTTTCTGATAGTTGTGTATAGTTGTTTTACATAAAATAAATGTTGTTGTTCCTCTGCAGAATCCGAGTGTCGTGCTGTGGAATTAATTCCCTCATTTAGCAAGGAATGAAGGAAAATGTAATTAAGATGTTTCTCGGTGTAAATGAACGTTGGCAGAAATCAAAGTTAATTGGCACATGATTGATGGTCATGCAAAGAATGATGATGATTTAATAACTAATTAATACTCCCCTGAACTTATATATAAATAAATAAAATTAATTTCACACAAATTAAAAAAATCATTACATATATTTAAATTTTATACTTTTTAAAATATTTTAAATCATATTTATGGTAGATAATACTAATATTTATTATCATAGAAATATTTTTTAATAATGAACATTGGATAGAGTTGACTTTCATAAAATTTGTTTATATTTTAGTGAAAAAATTTAAACATTTTTTGGTTTTATATAAGTTTAGAGGGACTATTAAGTTTTCATTGACTCTCTAATGTCAAAGGTTGTTTTCAACTCCACGTAACTCCTTATTTCCACTTCGTCCCTTGTAAAGCCTACCAGCACACCATTAAAAGGTTGGAGGCAGTCCGAGGGAATTCTCAAACCAACAAATGCATCCCATGATAGGACGGTTGTCAAGCTGCCTTAATCCACCAATACCCTTTTGACGTTCCTGCTCATCACCGTAACACAGATTAACATTGAGTCGTCCTATGGGGGATGACCCCTTTGTAATCTTTGTCAAAGCTCTTGATACTCTCGCTGCAACCGCTCATATTCCTATACTCTCCTTTGTGCTTCGTCATTTTCTTGTCTTAATGTTTCTAATGTAGTCGTGATCTCCTATAATGTTGGATCATTATTTGGTGTCTCCAAGTCTTCTCAACGTAGGCACTTTGCTTCATCTGCACTTCGTCGTGCTTCCTCATTCTCACGTCGTAGGGTTTGCATCGCAACCAAAACCTCTTACAATGTTGAACCAATGTCTACAAACCCCACTTGTCATTACCAGCTTCTCCTGCATTGCTCCTTAGTTACCTAGGCATTGTGACCTTCTGATCACACAAGACATCCAAGGTGTGGGATGCAGTTTTACCTGTCCCACGGTGGGCGCCAAAATGTTCCGGTGTTGGAGACCGCTGCCAAAAAATCCTTAGTGATACCATGCTAAGAGAACATGACAGTAGTCTTGACCTAGAACATTTGATGAGAGTAACTTGTCCTCTTAGACCTAATCATTGCTATATATAATGGTGTAGCGTTACAGACATCAATCCCACACTCCTCTTTATGATCCCATAAATCATGCCCGATTATGAACTCGTAACTCTCGATGTTTATGACCGTTATCTTGTTCATCCCACGGATCTTGGAATCTTATTGATTATCTGAGCGAGCAAGTGAATCTTCCCATATTTGGGTCCCTATACGTATAATTCCAAGTCTTGTCGATATACAACATTTCTCATTTATCCAAGAGACATCTTGGTCGATGGGCTCGGCATTTTACCGATGTGCCTCGAGTCGGCCGATGGGAGACCGCCTCAGTACAAAGCCCTCTCGGCTTGAGCGCGATGGAACAGTGTATCAAGTTGGCGTATTGTCGATGTGTCTTGGGTCGGCCAATGGAAGACCATCACGGTACATAACCCTCCATGCTTGAGCACTAAGGTGTGAAGAGCATATCTGATCAACATTTTGCCGACTTGCTTTAGTCGGTCTGTGGGAGACCCTCATGGTACATAGCCCTCCATGATCGAGCACTGAGGTGCGAAGAGCATGTCAGATCGGCATTTTGATAATAACCTACTTTGGGTCGGCTCATGGTAGACCACCACGGTACATAGCCCTCCATGCTCAAGCACGAAGGTGCGAAGAGCATGTCGAATCGGCATTTTGTCGACCTACTTTGGTCGGTCTGTGGGAGACCCTCACGGTACAGTTTTAAACTTGAACAGTCGCTAAGTTATTATATAGAGAAAGTCCTTCATAACAAAATAATTTTAATTAATAATTTGATTAGACAAAAAGATAAATGATATAATAATAAAAATTGAATGATTTATGATTGTTAAAAATATTTATTTATATACTAAATTAGCTCACAAATTAATTCAAAATTCAATACAAGAAAATTGTCATATAGTGACACACACCATATAGTGACATAATACGTGTCACTAAAAATTATTTTTACATACACAATAAATATAATATATGTTGGTATATTGTTAAAAAGTGTAGGTATAGACTATAGTGACTATCGCAACCCGAAAATTTTCGATCTCACGACTAAAGGTTTAGACATCCTTTTAAAGATCTCATTAATTAAGGAATGTCCGGACACCAGACTAATCCTTAATTAATGGTTTTGAAAATAGGTTCATGGAGTCGCCACCAATATTTTACTCAAAACATTGGAAAAAGAAAAGGTTTTTAAAGATCCAACAATGGCCTTGATAACCAGAATTAGGTTCGGGGGTCGGTTACGTGTAAGGAAGGTATTAAGCACCCCTACA